CGGTCTCTACCAGGAAAGGTCAACAGGTCGCCATGGCCATTCAGGATGAGATGCATATTGCCGTGTGCGTCTTGGGGCACTGGACTCAAATCTGGTTTCAGAATTTGCTGAACGATCCTCTAGGAGGAGTTAGGGGGGGGGTCGTTCTAACGCATACGCTCCGATTCTCTTTGCGTAGCTTAGTAAGTTCGAATACATACAGTCCCAACGGTGCGATGTGGTAGTAGTCATTAGGGGTTGTTTCATTATATGAGAATGTGTCATGGTTTCTCGCTTCCTTGACAAGTTCGCGTTTTTGCATTCTTTCGGAACATCTTCTGCGAGTTCAGAGAATACTTCTTTCCGTTATTTTGTCATGCTTGCTCTTGCTTGCAGTAGAAAAAGACTTAAGTGCCGGCAATTGTGCTTCCCTTTCAAGACTTTTGGGCAGTGTTTACCGTTTACTGGCAGAATTGGCTAAAAGTTCCCCTATGGTCGTCTGCCCTTCTGATCATAATTACCACATCCGCTCAGCACGAAACATCCGTGCCACAGGCGCCAGCGCCAAAATACCATACAAAGTTCGCTGGAAACTTGTCATCTGGGGTAGTTTGACCTCCTGGACACAGAAATCCCATTAGCTGAGCCCGGAAATGCCTGGCGCCGGCGCCAATACTCGAACCACCATAATCACTAAACTTTTCAACTGGAGCAGTTTGACCTTCTAAACACGAGCATCACATCCGCGTGGGGCGTTGAGAATGTTTGGGATAAAGAAAAAGCGGTAATGTAATTGCGCAACCTGCGTCCGCACCCCTCCTCATGAGGCCCTTCCTCTGCTATGGCTGAGCCTTAGCAAGAGAAGGATCTCTGTGACAGGCAACTAGGAAGAGTAGTGCGTACTTCCCACCGTTTGCCCAATGCCCTATGCACAGAGCCCGCAATAAGCGACCGGAGTCTCTGGCTTAGCACCCGGACTAGAACAAGCATGCTGAATGGGTCGATTGTGGCGTACGCTCAGGCGTATTCAGAAAAGTTTACTTGGGATATTTGTGTCCAGGAGGTCAAACTACCCCAGATGACAGAGTTTCAGCGAACTTTCTTGATTTAGGGTATTTTGGCGCTGGCGCCTGTGGCACGGATGTTTCGTGCTGAGCAGATGTGGTAATTATGATCAGAAGGGCAGACGACCATAGGGGAACTTTTAGCCAATTCTGCCAGTAAACGGTAAACACTGCCCAAAAGTCTTGAAAGGGAAGCACAATTGCCGGCACTTAAGTCTTTTTCTACTGCAAGCAAGAGCAAGCATGACAAAATAACGGAAAGAAGTATTCTCTGAACTCGCAGAAGATGTTCCGAAAAAAATGCAAAAACGCGAGCTTGTCAAGGAACCGAACCCATGACCTCTCATATATGAACAACCGCACGCTATCCACTACACCATCGACGCAAGTTGGACAATGTATGTATTCGCGACATTAACTTGAGCTATCGCAAAGAGGATCGCGATGCTAAGTGCGTATGCTAGAACGACTCCCCCCTTTAACTCCCTCCTAGAGGGATCGTTCAGAAATTCTGAAACCAGATTTGAGTCCAAGGCCAAGAGCGCAACTAGCAGATTATGCATCTTCATCCTGAGATCGCCATGGCGACCTGTTGACCTTCCTGGTCAGATGGAAGTCCCGACGGAAACTCATGTTTGAATGCATCGCGCAAGCCCAGCCACCCCAATCTCCTGGATATGGATGTACTGGAAACAGAAAGAGAATTGCTACTGGTAGGTGACTAAAGCGGCAGCGGTTGAAATCTGGTATGAAGAGGGGCGGGGCTGGCGAGTGTAACAGAGTACAAGTTCTAACAGATGATATGGAGGATGCGACGGTATCAGTAATGGTGGGTGGCAGAAGTGATAAACATAGTAGAGGCTGATAAGGAACGAGAAGTTTCAGTGACGGGGACGTAGATGACGGGTGAGAAGCAGTGATATCAGCTGAAAGGAATAAATAGGGGATTAGCATTATAAGTTCCAAAAAAATGTGGAGGGAGGAGGGAGGAAGTCGGGGTATATTACGCGTCTGAAATGGAGAAAATCAACAACTGCAAAACTTTTATGAAAGCCAAATATGCCCCTGTTGTGCCAGAAGAGGCGATCCCCCTCCAAGCCAAACTGTGCCTTTATTTTCTTCGATTTTTCAGAATAGTCTATTTTTAGTTTTCTATGGATTTTCAGAGAGAATCTTTGCCAAGCGCACACATACGCCGGTGTATTCGCATTTTCACAATCGTTGATATTCTTCATGTATGCGGTGGCATTTTGGACTGGTTCAATCTTCGTGGACAACCACAATATGCAACCGACAGACGTCTATCGGTCAGTAATCGCCTTTTTAGCTTTTTTTCAAGAGCTTCCAACAAAATTGGTCAATTTGCCCAAGAGTTCAATCTTCGCCATATCATTGAATTTCATTCGAAATTATTGAAGGTTATAGCAAGATTGCTGAGATATGAGCAGAAATTTTCGACTCCAGGTGGGGCTTAAACCCGTACCTCACGCTTCAGCATTCTTGTGATGACCTTCGCAGCGCCAGCTGCGCCGTCAAACAGCAGATAGCATAAAAAACAAGTTCTAAAGTTATAAAAATTTTATTTCTCTGAGCTTTCCTTCTTTAAAGGCAGAATTCTTGGCACGTACACTGCTTTCCCAGGTCTTGCGCTTCTTTATGCATGTTCCGTGTTTCAGGGTATTTTTCGCGTTCATGTTCTGCGGTCAAATGGTCGGCAATATCTCTTCGTTTATCCCGGATGTGGTGAAAGCCCGCTGTGCAGCATCGTTACTGTTTTACCTTATCGAACATCCATCGGAGATCGACAATCTGTCTGAAGATGGTGTCAGAAAGGTAGGCCGAAGCTCAGTCCTCAATTCTTCGTGCTATGTATCATCCTGATTTCGTCTGGTATAGGCAGTGATTACGGTACCCATTGAGCTTCCGCAGGATCAGTTAGTTGTTTGGTTTCGAGCATCGCTCATTTGCTCAATACTGTTTTTTCTTGGGGGGGGGGGGTGGCTCTGTTTTAACCACGAAACACGTTCGAGGGTTCCCTTGGGATGGATTCGATTGAGAGCTGTGGG